GCTAAATTGAATTGATGAGTGTTCCTGATCGATATTTGGGGCTTCACCAAGAATAATTTCATTGGTATTACTATGTGAAAAACAACTATTTTGGATTGATTGAAATTCTTCATTATAGTCAAGGTAGAAAGGAATGGGTACGCTAAATTGAGTTGATGAGTGTTCCCGTTCGATATTTGGGACTTCGCCGGAGTTATCTTCAAAAACGTTAGCTGATCTATTAGCAGCTTTTGGTCCCCGTTTTTTAACCGGCTTAACATAAATACATTCAAGGTTGTGTGATGCGCAATTTGTGCAAATAGCTTCTTCGAAACACTTTGCGTGCTTTGTTTTGCAATTAGTGCATGCGTTAGTCGCGTAATGGCCTCGTTGTTGTCGATTTGAAAAAGACATGGTCGTCCAAAATATTTTGAATAAATATTATAAAAAAATAAGAAAGAAATAAAGTTTATGGGCGTGATATTTATAAAGCTAAAGGTGGTTCCTATCTATGATTATCTCAAAATTGCCGATATATGGAAAATAATCAAACTTTGGAATATGGTAAAGACGAGGATATTATTTTCTATATTTTAAAAAAGCACTTTTTGATAACGTGTTTAGCAACCTGAAAAAAAAAGTGGGTGAAGCGCTATTTATATTATTTTGGAAACAATTAAAGATATTTATGACCGATATGGAAACAGATTTCATTATTTATAAAAATTGAAGAATGACCTGCAATTGTATTAAAACAGATTTCATTATTTTTATTATTGAAGAATAATCTGCAATTATCGTTATATGTGGTGATGACAAAGCGGGATATAAACAGCAAATCCCGTGATTACATTATATTACCTTCCAAATTGAAATTGAAACCGGTTCGGAATTATCGTTATATCGACATGTGGCAATGTCAAACAGCAAATCCCGTGATTACATTATATTAACCTTCCTAATTGAAACAGATTTTGGAACTATATCGACATGTGGCAATGTCGGCACTATGCGCCTGGTGTTCATGCATGCATGCAATTATGCATACGAATGATAAGCATGTTATGCACCATTATAAATTTGAGTCGGAGTTTTGTCTAATCTAACACGTATTGTCATAAATATGTACGAACGTACGTACGTACATACGTAGTTAACGAAGATTATTAATTTGGTGCACACAATAAGTTATTAAAATTTTTTTTCTGGACGTTCTAACAATGTAAAGTATAATGAGTCATAAAAC